CATGAGGGAAAGGGGAGCGAGGAGGGAGGGGATAAAAATGAGGAGCTGATCCCAGGGGCTTAAGTGGAGAGCAAATGTTTTGAGAATGAGGAGAGCAATGACTGTACAAATGTGCTTTACACAATTGATGTATGTATGGATTGTGATAAGAGTTGTATGAGCCCCTAATAAAACAATTAATAAAAAGAAAGAAATTGTGCAATTGAAAAGTCTGTTCATTTTCCAAAGGGCAATTCCTCAAACCACTTTTCTAGTTTTCTAAAACCACCTTTTGAAAAATCTCTCCCTAACACAGTATGTGTAGATATATACAATGAGTTTTCTAGCATTCAAGTAGAATTGAAAATTTTTTAGAGATATTTACAACTTCAGAGAAATTTCTACTTTCTTTTTCTACTATCTCTAAAAAAAATATGTGGGTGGCTGTGGTGGGATGGAATGTAATTGAGAAAATAACATAGTTTTTATACTCTATTATACGTGTGTTATACCTGAAAAAAAGGCCACTACAATTGCTTAAAAAGTGACATGCTGGAGTATGTCTGCATGTTTTCTTGTTGAAAACTTTTTTGGAGAAATATGCTGACCTTTTAATTAACTACTTACCTTCTGATAAGATCATCTTAATTGATAGCTAACAAATCTAGCTGACTAAAAGAATGTGGATTATAAATGCTGAATTATGGGTTTTTTTTGCCTTTTTTAAGTAAATGCAGGGATGTGCTACAAGTATATGTGATTCAGAAGAACTAGGCTCTTCACAGAAGGACAAATGAAATATGTGCCTGAGTTAGATGAAATGGTTTTACCTGCTGGGTCCCTGATTGGTTCCCAGTGTAAGTCATTGTCTTTCTCCCTGATCCATCCACAGAGCCCATGGTCAAAGTTACAACTGTGGATCAGAACACCTGAAAGGAAATCGTCAGAAAGATGAGTAAGTCACCAAAGCAGCACATGATCACAAAAACCTGGCTGTGAACCCGGGCTCTCTGTCCAACAGGTGTTCTTCCTGCTTACATTCCACTCTCCAACCGGAGGGAAGTATAGACATCCTTTGTCAGCACAATCGAGCCAGCATGCTAAACTGCAAAGACAGCACACACAAGTCTTGCCAAACTGTGACCTTGTTAAATCATCACTTGTAAATGACGATTTCCTTACAATCTCAGGGCTGTTTCAATACATTTTCCAAGAAAAAAAAAAAGGGAGCGATGATTCATAATTATTTTTGCTCCAGTGATTTAACTACAGGAAAAACCATGTGCTATTAACAAATTTTCAAAGGTGCATCATTTCCCCAGATGTACCTAGTCAATCTACAATTGGAAAGATATTTTCAGAGGAGGGAGGGAAACGATTATAAGGGGACTAAAAATCAGAGCGTCTTACCTGGATCATCCTTGGCTTCATCCTCTGCACTGATTCCTCTTTCTATTTCAAAAACTTCAAACAAGTCATTTGAAGGCTGTCGTGGAACTGCAAGAAATAAATTTTTAACATTTTTGTGTAGTGAGGTTTGATGAAAATCATTGCCTTTTAAGTCAGGGGCAGAGGAAAGCAGCCTAAGCAGTTTACTCCTTTGAAAGAGTCCAAGATATTTCATTCCATTTCCTATGCAGTGTCATCAAATTTGCACTGTGGTGATTTGTACTCTACTGTTCACCTGGGTACAATTAAAAACAAAATGATGTTTGATTTTTAAGTTTCTCAAATTCAACATAAAATGTCTTCATCTGAAAAAAAGAAACCAAACCATCTC